ATTTTCAAATATAATTGTGCAAAGTTTTATTTAAATATTTTAGCATTTTAAAAAAGTAAATCAGAGCTAAAAAAGTGTAAAAACACAGGCAAATTTGCCTGCGTTGGTCTACATATTAAGGAATAATATATCTGTCAATCCATACTGCCTTAAAAATGATACCAAAGCCTCCTTAAGCAATACTTGTGAATTTGCTAAAGGGTATCCATTCAATGATGTCTTTAAACATCGATACGTTGTGTTTGTTGAATTAATTGATCAATGTCGTGATTGTTGCTTGTCTATTTACAAAATCCATTAATAGACTCTAATATTAAAAAATAATAAATATGATAATAATTAAAAGTGATATTTCTAATTTGCTGTAAAAAATTCTGTTATCATTCAACAAGTGGAGAATCAAAACTCGAAAATCGAGTTTTACTTGATTTTGACAAGCACTAACAATAACCAAGTCAAAATCCTTTGCCTGAATCATTCATACATGATAATAAATGAATACTTTATTTTTATCTATTCTATATTCACAATCCTAAGCCAGAATCCTTTGTTTATAATAGCCAAGCTAGAATCTTCCATTTGATATAATATATCTGTCAATCCATACTGCCTTAAAAATGATACCAAAGCCTCCTTCAGCAAGATACTTCATATTTGTGAATTTGCTAAAGGGTATCCATTCAATGATGTTTTTAAACATCAATGCATTAAGTTGTGTTTATTGAATTAATTGATCAATGTCGTGATTGTTGCTTGTCTATTTACAAAATCCATTAATAAACTCTAATATTAAAAAATAATAAATATAATAATAATTAAAAGCGATATTTCTGATTTGCTATAAAAAATTTTGTTATCATCTACCAAGTGGGATTTACTCAGTTCTAATTAAACAAAAAAAATCATTCTTTTAGTCAATCAAATAATGAAATATTGTTGAATAGTATAAATGACTATCAGAACACGAAAGGTACTTTTGTAAATAAAATTTAAATTACTAGTAGTGCTTGGCAAAATCGAATAAAACTCAATTTTTAAGTTTGATTTTGGACAATCAAAACTCGAAAATCGAGTTTTACTCGATTTTGCCAAGCACTAACAATAACTAAGTCAAAATCCTTTCATACATGATAATAAATAAATACCTTATTTTCATCTATTCCATATTCACAATCCTAAGCCAGAATCCTTTGTTCATAATAGCCAAACTAGAATCCTCCGTTCGAATTATTAATATATTTAAATCCGAAGTTAGTTTAGTTAATTTTTACCAAAAACAAATATAATATATCCGTCAATTCATACTACCTTAAAAACGATGCCAAAGCCTCCTTCAGCAAGTTGCTTTATATTTGTGAATTTGCTGAAGAGTATCCATTCAATAATGTCTTTAAACGTCGATACATTAAGTTGTATTTGTTGAGTTAATTAATTAATGTCGTGATTGTCACTTGTCTATTTACAAAATCCATTTATAAACCCTAATATTAAAAAATAATAAATATGATAATAATTAAAAGCTATGAATATTGATATTTCTGATTTGCTGTTATCATCACCAAGTGGGAATTACTCATTTTTCCCTAGTTTTAATTGGACAAAAAAAATTCTTTTTTTAGTCGGTCAAATAATAAAGTATTGTTAAATAGCATAAAGAACTAATAGTACATATACTATACTAAGATTTTGTAAGTAAAATTTAAGTTACTAGTAGTGCTTAGAATCCTTTGCCCGAAACATTCATACCTATAAATTTCAAATATCTTATTTTATTATATTTAACTAATTCCATATTCCCAACCAGAATTCTTTGTTCATTTATACCTGTAATTTCGATTGCCTAATGACAAAAAAGATTATTATTATAATGCAAAGAGTAGAATTCAAAGAAATAGATCTCAGATGCATAGTTTACTTTCATAAGTCAGGAAAACTGATAAATGTTAATGTAAGTGCGCTATTCATACTTAAGTTTAATAAATGAAGTAGTGATCCGGTAAGTCTAATAGTTTTGCGGCTCATAAAAATATCAGTATAGTTTTTTTTCGTAACTATTTGTAAAACTATAAAGATACAAGTATTAAAAAAAATTAATAGCCACTATATTCCAAATAAGAAAAGTTAAAAATGATCATTAAAAAACATACCAATATTGATACAGTAAATGCTTAAAAAAGACATTGGGGATATTTATTTAAAGCAATAAAACAGAGTTTTATTGTGATAGCAAAATTATTTGCCTTAATATTTCAAATTCAAATTACAAAATTGTAATAAAATGAAAATAATATCTATGACTTCTGAGTGGTTTTTTGAACTAATAGAGTGGCGAAAGTGAAGCCTAATAAATACGAAGTGTTTGTAATTAATAAGTAAATTTAAGAAGTTAAAATATTATTCTTGCCTGTCAATTATTTAGATTCTAATCTAGATTTCTTGAAAAAATTCAGAGTATCATTATTAGTGAAGTAAAGTTGCCGATTCTCATATTCCAAAATTTCCAAAATAGCTGATTTTTATGAATCCTCATGACTCCCATCTTTAAGCGTGTTTTGAAAATACCAACAAACTTGTAAGTGATTTTTTTTTTCAATTGCTAAGCAAGAGAACACAACTAATCCAAAATCATAATGAATATCCAAAAATTCATATACATGGTTTACTAAAACATGAATATAAGGCATAATGTCTTGCATATGATATATTTTATGAACAAAGTTGCTTTTATTAGGTTGACCTTGAGATGGGGCTAGAAAAGACATTAACCAATTTTGTGCTTTTTCATAAAATATTCTACCCATAGTTTTGTTGTCTTGCATCAAACTATATAACTTATAAAATTGATTTCAAAGATTTCGAATTTGTGTAGCCCGACTATTAAATTGAAAAATTGCTGTAAGATTAAAATTTTGTAAAATCTTCAATTTGTCAAGCCTCATAAGTGAAGTATATGATAGATTATTATTTTCATGCCAAAACTAATAAGTTACATTAAGTCTTTTTATTTCACTTAAAATTTTTGATTGCCAAATTCTTTTATCAACTTGTTCTCAACTAAGATCAAATAACATTAATTCCCATAGATGATCAGTTATTTTTAAAAGAACATGTAGTTCATCACAAACCCAGTTACAAATAGGTATCATATAAAATAAAGGCTCTTTTAAATACCTGTCTATTTGAGAATAATTTGCCTTAATTGTTTCTATTGATTTAGTAATTTTTTTGTCTGTACTATTAATATTCTCTTTAGAACAATTATACCACAGACAAAAATATTTAGCATTTGCAGCTTTTATTCCAAGACATGTTGCTAAAAATTTCCAATCTGAGCTAAAATAAAGTTTGACTAGCCACTGGGTACTACTGATTTGTTGAAAATTTTTTTCATGTAGTAAATGAAAATCTAAGATTAATAGAGCAAATGCATTTTTTAATGAATTATATGATTCTGAACCTGTATATAATACAAGTGTATAGTGGTTGTCTAGTTTTTGCAATCCTGCTAAATCATTTAACAGTGCCATTGTTACCATTACATGCTTAACTTTGCGCCCTACATTTCGGCCGTCCCCGGAAATATGAATATGTAAAGTTAATTTTTCTGGAATTAAAATATCTTTATTTATATAAAAAGGTATAATATAATTTAAAATATCTGTAATATGATACTGTTCTCCCATTCTAATAGATTCTAACATATTTGTAATAATATTTATATCAGTAATTTCTGAAGTATCGGTAATTGGTTCAAACATAGTTGGCTGTAATATATTTACAAGTAAGAGTGTAATTTTTTTTTCATTTCTAAATTTATTTTTTGTCTTATTTCTGATATAGCTCCTTCACATGGTATATTATACTTAATTTGTGCTAATGATCAATATGCATCTCTTGTAATTCGACCACGATCTAAAGATTTTACAATTGCTTCTTTCCATTCTTCTTCACTTTTTTTATCAAACTTTTCAAAACTAATATTGAATTGTTCTTCTCCAATTTTAAGCCGGACTTGTTTAATATTTATATAATCATCAAAATGAAATTTTTTTTTCTTTTTCAACTGTATTTAAAACTTGTTGAGCTACTTTTAATATTTTGCGACGCTGTGTTGAAATACTAAGTTCTTCAAAAGGACGAATTTGATGATTATAGTTAAGTGATAAAGTTTTGCATATATTTTCAACACTAGTTAATGTTAAGCCAAATAATAAAGAACCAGATATTTTTGATTTGTTTTTATAAATTTTTTTTGATTATTTTTATTATATTTTTCTATATTAGTCTGAACTTTCGTTTCATTTAATTTCTATTAAATAATTAAAAATAAAAATTAATATCTATATTTAATAATAATAAATATTTTTAAAATGAAATATAGTATTACTTTAAGATATTGACATGCAATATTAGATGCACTTTTAGTAGATTGTATTTGCATTTTTAAATTAGCTCCAAACCGAATAGTAAATAGTGGTTTTTTGTTTATATATTGAATAGCACATTCTACAAGATGTTTGGCTTTACTATGACGTGTTTTAATTACATAATTATTAGGAATTCGATATTTAGGATTTTTTGTATAATAATATTGATTAGAAAGTAGATATGTTCCTTCTTTAATAATCTCATAATAAAATGTTATGTTTTTATCAAAAAGTTTAATAAGTAAACTTTGAGGACAATTGCTTTTTTCTTTTATAGCTGATAGTGTAAATTAAAAAAATATTGTTATAAACAAATTATTGTAATCGAGATATACAAACGTTGTAGTTGTTATAAAATTTTTTCTTAAACCTGGCATGAGTTATAATAGTACATTTTTTCTTCTTGTTTTGTTTTTTTTTATCTTGTTCTCCTTATGCTATTTCTTTATAGAAGTAGTTCTCCCCTTTGTCAGCCCTTGGGCTTTTCTCTTTGTGTTTCTTTTTTTTACATCTTACTGTACCCTTCTTTTTTTTCCTTTAAAATACTTCTTCATTCTATATATTTTTTTTAGTTAGATTTTCGGTTTGTTTTCTTGGTAGTATTAGTGGTTTTGTATAAGATTATCACTTTCTTTTGCTCTCAGTAAAAAAAGAAAATATAAAAGAAAAAGCTTTGATAGGCTGACAAAGTTTATCTAACTTGTATACAGGTTAGTGTGACAAGTCACATATGGGCACATTTATCGCAGCCGGATAATATCAGGCTTGCTATCGCAGTAACTTCCTGTTTGTAGTTATAAATGATAAATGTATTGTTCAAGAGAGCTCAGCTCTCATCTAAATATAGTTGCAATAAATTGAGTACTAGCAAGACTGTCAAAGATTTAAATATATATATATATATATATAGCAAAGTCTCACCTTAAATATTTAAAAAAATATATATAATATATTATATAGTATAAGTTAAAACTATATAATTTTATATTTAACCAAACTTGTTTAAAATACAAATATATACTACAATAATACATTTTTTGGTACTAATCAAGTTTACTTAGAGCTCAAAAGTATACTTTATTAGTAATATTTTAAGCAATACAAGATTTTCTATATTTTTATTAA